GCACCGAAATTACAATAATGACGTATAAATTAATTTTTATACGCTGATAGCATTTCCCTAGTATCTACCATCTACCCCTCACCATACAGCAACATCGACGAATAACTGACGAGTAGGACATATGAACTATTAAATTTATATAACTGCCTCTTGATGTTAGATTACTTGCTAGTCGCTATCCTATTATAGCTTACATCCAAAAAATTATTTCAATATACGCTAATGGTATTGGTAAATACTATCTTGTACGTTAGGTATGTATATAGATACTCGTAATTTTGAAAAATTGTATTTCAGAGTATCAGTCCGGGTAGCGTGGATACGGAAATGTTCATCACTGCTAAATTCAGACCATCTTCTCAGGTTGTTAGTTCAAGACCAGCTTTGAAACCGGAAGATGTAGCAGCCATGGTGATCACTACATTGGAGACGCATCCCAGTGTGGAAGTTAGTTTTTTAAGTTATAATTAGATAATATGAATGTTCGATGTGCAATAGGTACTCGATGAATCAACAGCTCTATATCATTTATGTTTGATTTTTTCTATAGATAGCAGAACTAACAGTTATTCCTACYGGATCAACCATACAATCTCACGGAATGCCTAGTCCAGTCAATTTATCTGATAAATAAAAATAATTTTAGGACCTATAGTTGACATAGTCTTAGTATTAGATGATACCATTCAAAATAAACTTACGTTTTATTTTTTATTTGAGGAGTGTATAGACAGTATATTAATTATCCACGACGATTGTCGATTAAAAAGCAACATTGGTTAAATTACCTTTAAAGTTTAAAGTTAAGGATTAATTTTAAATTGTTTGATATATACATAATAACCTCGATACTACAGGCCAATAACCTATTGTACACCTAAGTGGTTAAGTCCAAAGTGACCGAAGTTCGTGAAACAAAGTATGTATACTCATATAAAGTCATAACCGAGTCTTACAAGTTACAATCTAACATTACTGATTAAAATAGATTTTAGTATAGATACTCAAAATTAGCTCTCTACATATAAGTTATAAATTKATAATGCTATTTTTTATAAAGGTACACGAACAGAACCAAAGCATCAGGCGCGTATGAGCCCGCCGTATGAGCAAGGTTATAGGTGTATAAAGGTTAGATTATGCAATATAATACAGTTTCTATAAATATTGTTAGGTATACTTATGTTTATGTTTATGGCTATATGGTATATCCAATATTTGTAAAAACAGCTAAACCGGGCATACGTTTGTCCATTATTCGTATTACATATTATATTTAGTACAATATACTCTGTCCAGCGAGAGAACGCGCCACGCACGACGCACCGACCAAAACKGGTTTCAAGCAACATAGGGGAACCGGTTTTTAATAGCAGTGTGTCACGGGGGGGTTGCGTAGAATCCACGCGTTCTCTCGCTGGAGAGAGTATAGTACTGCACACAAAAACACGGGGGGATACTTTGCCCTTTTTATTTAAATATAAATTAAAATACGAACCAGCCATAAAGCGAATAAGTAGTGCTTAGTATACGGCGGTGAGTGGTGACTGTCGACCGGCGGTGTGATTCGATCAGTGGCAATCACACGTGAAAAAGTGTCATCGCGGTGCTAAKACTTAAGAGTACGTAACAGTGGTATTTTTTGTATCCGTCTTACCAGTGCGTAATATAGCAAATTTACGCTCAGCAGAACACTTGTAGATCCTTTTGTTTAAAAATTACAGCGAATCGACCTATTATGAAACTTTATGGTAAGAACAATATCTGTGTTTGTACGTTGGGTTTTTACGATAATTTAATTTTAAGTAAGTTATGAGCATATAATATACAGTACATTAGAAATGCTCATAACTTACTTAAAAATTAAATTATCGTAAAAAACCAACGTACAAACACAGATAATGTTCTTACTATAAAGTTTCTTATTTATACTCCCCCCCCCCAAAAAAAAAAATAAAATAAAATAAAACAACTGTTGCAAATGCACTTAAAACCTTTTGTCAAATCCAATCCTGTACCTACAGTGTAGTCTATATACAATATTATATATAATAGTATAACCTACGTATATACATTGATTTAAATTTTAAATTTATTGTGCACTCAATTTTAGATTCTACGCGGAGCGATGAATATATTGGTTTCATTATGATGTGTGTGTGTGTGTGTGTGTGTATGTGTATTGTGTGTATACTGTATACACAACATGACTTCCTACATTTTGGTATAATATGCAAATTACATGGTAAATAACTGCGATGATTTAGTAGGCTGTAATACGAAAATACGTAAAATGGCTTCCGATACCTTGTGGTTTGATTGAATCGGGAGATTAATATGACCTTGAACGTGGCTGCAATAATCATTTTCGTAATAATAACTAATTTCGGTAAATAAATGTAAAACTTAAGGTATGTTTTTCGAAAATTAAGATTTCGTATCACTAAAGCCTATAGGTTAAAACTCTAATAAAATAACGATTAGTTCATTTAATGTCATATCTATAAAATCATATGTTATTATAATATAAAATCGGATTATTGTAAACAATTTTGAACATATTGGTATTCATAAACGGCGTGGGTTCTCGATATAAAACCGGTATTTGTGCGGAACCGCCATTACATCAGTGCGTGGTATAAAAAACAACTGTCTGTTCTTGAAAGACTAAAAAAGTAAAAAATAATTGCGATTTAACTGAAACATTTAAACGTAATCGTTGTACAACGTACAGATCGAACTGCCTGTGCGATTTTCAAAGTAGGTACATTCGCAAGACCATAAAATCGTAATTTTCAAACCAAAAATATTATAGGTACCTATATAGGCWATACATATAATATATCCTTTCGTAATTCCTATAGTACTTGGGCCTCATTTATAATAGAAATATGATAATTTAATTATATAAATCTCGAGAAGTCTTGCCAAAAATGGTGGAGCATATTTTATATTTTAATTTATC